TTGCTTTCATGCATGTCAGGTAGTGAGAGTAGGCAGCATAACATAATGGACCTGGATCGCTTTCTTCCTAGCAGCAGCTTGACCTTTCGGGCAACCAGATGCATATGCATGGATCCCATTTGCAGACTGACGCAGCAAAGGTTCAAGAAGGTGAACAATGCCTGGGGTCGGCTGCTACTCAAAGTAGCTACAATCCAGAAGAACTTGCAGTAGCATCAACAATAAATGCTGGTTCCGCAGAATCAAAAATGGTGGTGATGACACATGAGGAAAATAAAAGGAGGATGGTAGAATTGCATTCCGCAGCAACCATGTTTTGTTGCGATGCTTCATTTTTTGCCGTACATTCTCAGGAAGAAATGCCTGAGAAAATGAGGTTTTTCCTGTTTGGGGTCTTAGAGGACAATAACAAATACAGCAGCATTGAGAGAGACATTAAGATAAGTCGTGGCCAAAGATTGCTATTGTTTTGGTTCAGGGAACAATCATAGTCCTGACTTAATGGAAGAAGTTGTTGTGTGCAATGTGAGGCTTGTAGAAGCCATTTGCGGCTGCATCGCCCCGTCCTGCAGTCACATGGCTTCTCGCAAGTATTAGGGATTTGTTGCCAAAGTAAATGGTCATATCTTGCTGTTCTAGGATATTTGCCAATGTCATGTCTGGAAAGATCCGCTGTTCAAGAGCTTCCAGAATATCCTGAACGGTGACGGAACAGCTGAGCACTTGGATGTTTGGCAGCGTGATGTCCCCAGCGTACTCCAAAGGAAGAGGATAGTAGCATTTGATATGTGCGACAGATTGGAGCTTCTGCGCAACCTTTTTGACCCAAGTTTCAAGAATCTGCCCAGTCCACTGTCTTGCACGGAATCCCACTAGACACGGCCATTCTCTTGTTGCTAAGCCTCCCATTCTGTTGCAATTCAGTGGCTGCATTGGATTGTTCTTGTTGCGTAGTTTAGCCACCATGTGCACATTACAGTCTCTGCAGAAATGCTCCCACGCCCCTGGGTGATCCTGAAGAGCTTGCAAGACATAATGGATGGGAGGCAAACAATCATCGTTCTTTGGTAGGTAGAACATGATGATTGCAATGTGGGGCTGAATCCTGGCAGTCAAGATGCGATTGGATGCAACTAGCTTGTCCTCACCGATCATTTTCACAGTCACCATTGGAAGGGACTCCTTCTTGTGTCCAGGGCACAGGAGACCCCAGCATTTGAACCAACTAAAGCAGGCAGGTGCATTGGAAATTCCGGACAAGACTGGTACTGGAACAATATCCGTTGACCCATGGAAAGTTGTGTCACACTATATATCTGAACCGCAGGATTGTACACACCACTCGCATCCAGAATTTGTATCAGCCCATGCAGTAGGAGAAGAGACAATAGAACATACCCATTTTTATCCATGATGCAGCAAGGCTTTGCAAAAAACTACATGCTACAAGTACTCAATTGCAAACGGAATAGATTTTGGCCACTACAACAGGCTCAAAGGTTTGACAGCATTGCACTTACATGAGCAGTTAATTGTATCAAAAAATAGGCTATATTCTGTAACAATCAAAGTATTCCCAAATGGACAAGGCTTTCAACCAACACCTGGCAGGAACTCCATGAGAGGGAACCAAATTATTTTCTCTCATGATTCTGTTGAGAAGGTCAATCATGTTTTGGTTTCTAAGGAGGACCTTGACAATATTACGAAGGTTCACTTCTACAATGAGAAAGGCAGAGACGATGTGTTGGCTTGGAAAACTTACGGAACATCCAAGCTATACGATTGTAGCAGCGTACTGCAACAATGGTTTGCAGTCCTTGGCCAGTTGAGTCCATACTATAGCCATATCAGACAGGATACAATTGATAACCTGGTTGAAATAGTTGAGCAGAGTGCCAGGGAGAAGAAAGACAATCCAATATTCATCAGTGACAAGCAGAGTCTTCTGCATGAAAAACGTCTTGGCTCTGATGTTGGTGGTGTCCATCAGGTGGACTCCATGTCAGATAATTACCATGATTACTTTGGAGGAGCATCGACATCACAAATTGAGGGTTCCAGCCATCCAAGTAGCAATGAGGATCTCCCTCTTAAGACGCATTATGTCAGCCCATCACCAGATACCTTGCTGCAAACGGAGAGCAACCGCAAGCAAGTTGAGAATGATGCTATTCAAAACGTGATGAAAAGTGTTGATGAAAGCAAGACCGTGAGCCAGCATCAAATGGAGTCAGACGATGTTGTACGGGGATGGTTTGGAGAACATGAATCAGAAGGAAGAGACAGGCATAACAACTCTTTTGTCATATCGCATTGATGCCAAGACCCAATCAATGAGTTCTTGCCAGATGATGACAATGCTGGCGTGTATCTTTCCATGGCTGTTCCCTATCAGAAAAGCTTATGGAAGACGTTCTGGTAACCTCAATGGCGAGGAGTTGAATCATTTGCTGAAACAGTTTAGTATGATTCATGGTCAGGACAGACGAATGTTGGATTTGCAGTCATAAAAAGTGCAAGCCGCAAATGTTGAAAACCAGATAAGGCTCGTGTGGTGGCCGTTTTGGCAACCCCACGGGAAAAATGCCAATTTTTGGAAATGTGCATGACTTTTCCGCGACACAACAATACATTGCCATAATGTCAACTTGCCTTCCAAGTCTTTACTATGCTAGCAATCATAATAAAATGACTCAATATATCAACCATCGGACCGTCAAATAAGCCAAGTGTCATTTGCACGTTCATTTCACAACCTGGACGTACAGAAAGAAGCCCAAGATATCACATTGAAATGGGTGTCAAAGATGGTGCTGCATATTGTCGTCCACCACAAGGCTTTACACACACAGTCAAGACGATTCGCACCCGCCTTAATGATAAGTTTCCTGCAGGTGGTCCTCACAATCCTGTTGTCGGTGTCGATCTCTCGTGTTGGCTCATAGCTGCTCCTTTAAGCACAAGCCAGCTGTTCAACAATTCTTTATGAAAAGGAAGGTTCCAGTCACCCATGTTGTCAATTACGTTTTTAAGCATGTTGATCTTGTGATAAGAAATGGATTTGGTGTCCTGCTAATATTTGATGGAGCTTCAAATCCAACAAAGAAGGCAACCAACAATGATAGGAGATCAGTCGTAACAGATGCCAAAGAATGGATCAAACGGATGTATTCCAATCCCAACAAAACCAATCTTCAAAAACTTTCTAAGCTACAACAAACTACAGTGGAAGTGCAAAAAGATGTCTTGTATGAATGATGGATATGGTTTTTGTCCGTCTGTACTTGTGAAAATTTCATGAAATTTCATGTGCGAAACAATTTGTCATCAGAATTTTTTAAAATAGCATCACGTTCTGTTTTTTGGCCTGGAGACAGACAGACGTAGCAATACAGTTATCATAATTATACGAACGCCCTTTTTTCTAAATGTTACACAGCCTATAACCACTAACACTACATTTCCGGGAATTATTTTCCCAAGACCAAACGGTTTTCGCGCCGTAGTTAGTCTACATGGGCCACAAATTTTGCGTGGTTTTCTTACGGCGCGACTCGTAGAAAGTGCGGACAACATAAAACTTTCTGCAATTGGTATTGTATACTTATACCGATTAAATTTGTCATTTACTTTTGGATCCATGTGACTTGACATAAGATTGTCAACGTGAAACCTGGTAGTTTGCTGCTTTTCATCAACAACTTTGTTAGCAACACACGGGTCATACGGATTGAAAACAAATCCCTTTGCCTCCAAATCACTTTGAAACTGATTATAGAATAGGAGGCTCGATTGCAACATCCCATAAATAGCACGTAGTACCCGCACATAGATTACTCGCTTTCCGTTCTCTAATACAACGTATTCGCGATACTCTGGGGCCATGTCAATCAATATCTGGACCATCATGCCAGTGATTTTCATGTAGATACGATCTTCTCCCTCCTTAGCTTCAGGCATATAAGTTTGAATGAAAGCGTTAGGCACGTCCAGCATCATTATATCTCTACCTTCGTGTGCATCAATAACACAAGTAGTGGTGATTGCTTCTTGTGAAGCAGTTGGACTTGCAGTGTCCTCTCGCGATAACCATTCACGAGTTCCATCGCCTCGGTATACTAGGCGACCTTTAATTGTCTTTTCGAAATGCTTTTCCGCGAGTAACATCATCACTGATTGGGCCTTCTTTCGCTCAGATGCGGTCATGTCTTTCACAAATTCGGGAGTAAAACAATCTCTCAGGAGCATTTGTCTCAATTCCTTATCCACAGCATGGTAATGCGGTATCCCGCAGCAATCATCTCGCGCATAGCAAGTACATTGGCAATTCCGTCTTCATCATAATAGACTGGAGGCGGAAATCTTCCTAGAAACCCTTCTTCATCGAGAACTCTGCTACCCACATTAGTGTGCATGTCGAGCTCTTTCTCAGCTTGACATAGTCCATGTATGAGCTCACAATTACAAATGGTAGTGTTGGTGCAACCACTGTCCATGATGACGTGATCGAGCAAACCAAACGGATTTCTTTCGATTCTGCGGCTTTGAATAAACTGCATACCTCGATCTGCTTCAGTAGCAAGATCTGGCAAGTCTTCACTTTTACTAGCATAGTGCCAGTCGGATTGAAGTTCGACATTAGTCGTTCCAGTAGGACATGGAACAAGATAGATATCATTGCCATTCTCGTCCTTTCCCTTGATAGCATCGTGAAAGACATTTGACGTATCATAATAGCCAGTCTTCACAACCTGCGGAGTTCGAGCTTGAGTTGCATCAAATCCTTGGCGCACTTGGGCACCACTGAAGCCTTGTTGGCTGAGTTGCATTCCACTGAACGCAATCTCACCGTTAGCATTCATTGAATAAGGGACAGTAACAGTGCCGCCACCTTGAGTTGGAATCTGCATGAGCTGCATTCCCGAAGGAACT